AGGACAGAGTGGAACTGCCTCATAGGCTTTCCAAGGCTTTAACCTTAATGGAAGCCGTCTGCCACATGTTCTTCCCACAGAGCGGTGGTTGGTGGGTTGGAACTGTCAATCTTCCACTTAGCAACTGAGTGCTTCACCATGGGTCCGGCAGGGCCTTGTGTAAAACAGAACAAAACTGGTGCTGTTTGAGCCCATGTGGAGACTGTCATGTCCGTCCATCCCATGGAGGGTCTCCCTGGTTCTCCCTGACTCTGCACATTACCAACCACGACGTTCTTCTCTAGAGATTGGACTTTCCTGATGAGTGTCCAAAGCAAGTGGCTCAAGTCTCGGCTTCCTCACACCTAAGGGGGTCCTGGTTGTGCTCCTCCTGAGTCTGACTCCAGACCCCTATGTTGGTGTCCGCACTGCAGCCCTCTCTCTTGAACTTAGTTTGCAGCGGCCTAATCAAACCTGTCTTGGGGTGTCCAATAGCATCTCAATCTTAACACATCCAAAATCAAACTCCTCGTCTTCCCTGCCAAACCAACTTCTGCTACAATTGTTTCTTATCTCAGTAATTGGAAACTTAGTAAAAAAATGCATAAGGAATTATTGACGGCTCCCTTTCCCTCAAACTCTGCATCCAGTCTCTGAGGAATCCTTTCAGCTCCATCCTGACCCCTCCCTGAACCATGAGCCTCCTCTCCTCTCCAGCAGCCCCTCCACCCCCTTGGCCATGGCCCACTATTCTCCACCCAGTAGCCAAAGAGGCCTCTTGAGGTAAGCCGCATCAGACCCCTTGGTGCTCAGGTCTGGGGTCAGTGCTCCTGCCTCTGCCCCTGCTCCTTCCCCCACACCTCCCCATGGCTCGCACCCCATGTTTCCCTTCCAGTGTCAGCTCAAAGACCACCCCGTGGGAGAGGTCTTCCCTGACCACGCAACACGGTGCCACTCACTCATTCTGTGTTTTCACTCTGTTTCACGTCATTTCTTCAAAGCGTGTATCACTCCATCATTTAGTCTATACTTAATGGTTTGTTCTTCTTAATTGTCTGTCTCCCTCCCTTCTCCCCCCAAAACCAAACTAGCTAAACCCATTGCTGTCAGGTCGACTCCAACTCATAGTGACCCTATGGGACAGCATAGAACTGCCCTGTACGGTTTACAAGGCCATAAATCTTTCCAGAAGCAGACCGCCACATCTGTCTCCCATGGAGCGGCTGGTGGGTTCGAATCTTTGACCTTTCGGTTAGCAGCCAATTGCTTAACCCCTGCGCCACCAGGGCTCCTCCCCTTCCCCAGTAGAAGGTACATTCCATGAAGCACAGCTTAACTCTCCTGTGCTGCTCTGTTCCCACACCTGGCACGGGGCTTGCACCCAGTAGGCACTCAGTGAACACAGGTGCAGTGAATCAAGGAGCCAGACGTGTGCTCTGTCCCCGTGACAGACACCATTGCCTAATGGGTGCAGGCCTTGTGAGGTTTCAGGCTTTTAAATTTCTCAACCCAGATGCAAGTTAAGAGGCCTATAGACAAGGGGTGTGCTGATTTTAGATAATCTGGTGATTTGCAACGTCTGTTCCCCTTCACGAAGGAGCCACAGTGGTGCAGTGCTTAAGTGCTCAGCTGCTGATAGAAAAGGTCGGTGATTTGAACCCCCCAGCCTCTCTGTGGGAGAAAGATGAGGTAGCCTGTTTCCATAAGGATGACAGCTTTGGAAACCGTCTGGGGCAGTTCTACTCTGTCCTATAGCGGCACTATGAGTCTGTTTTTATTCCATTTTATTAATTCTCACACCACTCCTGACCCACCTGAGCTTGAACTTGTGGGATGTACTGTGCTTCAAACTTGAACCATATAAAAAAGTGCCTGCAAATATTGTATAAGTCCGTTATTGTAAAACTTAAGGAAAGGTTTATCTGTTGGAGGAAATTTTCTTTGTTGGTTACCAGGGGTGGGAGGGGAGGGGAGGGAATGCTGTTAGAT